ATCTGCGACTTGCGTTTAATGTAGAACGGCCTTTGAGTTCCACTTTTGTGGAAATACGGCTAAAACCAGCGGCTGAAACCGTCGTAAAAAATTACATTAGGATGGCCGCTCTCAGGTTTCTCTCTGGTTGAAGATTTCGGTGGAAACTAGACCACTGTATAAGAGCATGCTGGGGCCACTGTACTCTATATACACTGGAATGCGCATCGAAGAAAATTCATGGCACAAATTGATCAGCGCCATTTTTGTTTGGCCTGGTATTTGAGCAAATCAGAAGCGGGTTTCACGCGCGGTCCCGCTATAATGTGGATGACGGAGATGAAAAAGTAACAAAATAGAAAAAGTTTCTTTAGGAGTTTGTACTAAGAAATTTACGTAAAATTAATAAACAAAATTAATAAACAAATATGTATAAAAGGACTTTTGCTCGTTAATACGATATAAGTATAAATTTGCCCATTAATACAATGTAAAAACCTACCGTTTTTAAAATAGTAAAAAAGGCACAAACTACACGCGCGCTTGTTACAAAATATCATTGTATCTTCAAACAAAATAATTTTATTTTAATTATTAAAAAAATGCAAATTATAAAAAATTCAATCATTGCAAAAATTCATTCAATACAATTTCAATTATAAATACAATTCAATACAATTCAATACAATTTTATTTCAATTATAAAAAAATGCAATATTATTTCTATCTACAACATCCTAACCTAACGATTTTCATCCTACATTGTTAATACATGCAACTGATATATTTCACACCAAAATCCTTATCTATGAAATGAACTCCCCTTTTCACTTCTCTGCCCACACCCGGACACACAACATTTCATGTCGCTAACTTGTAGCGGGTGGAACGCGCTTCTGATTTGCTCAAATACCAGGCCAAACAAAAATGGCGCTGATCAATTTGTGCCACGTCTCGCTATGCTTGTTAGATGGAGATGCGCATTCCAGTGTATATAGAGTTCAGTGGCTGGGGCCCTCAGCCCTGTTCGGTTATTACTCATAGACATAGAATATATAGACTGCGCGTTTGGCTGAAGAGACGTCTTCATGGTTGACAAAGACAACATACTTTGAACAGTAACTCTTTCTCTGTCTATCAATGGTCTAGTTTCCACCGAAACCTTCAATTCGGTTTCATTCCGGTACGGATTAAATTTGGTGTTCCGTTTCCATTCGAAGTAGAGTACTTATAAATCGAAGCGGAAGCGAAATCAGCGCAATGTGACAGGTTTCCATCGAATTAAATTTGATTCTACGTCGCATTAGGTGTGAATTAATGCTTCGGTGGAAACTAGACCAATGTCTGTGGTGGGATCAGGGCCTACTGTTTCATACGGGCGTATTCCGTTTGACCACGGTACAATTGGACACAGTACGATTGCACACGTAATATTGGACACGTACGATTGACCACGGTACGATTGACCACAGTACGATTGGACACCGCAAGAATAGCACACGGTACGATTGACCACGGTACGATTGACCACATTCTATTTGACGCGAAGAATTTAACACCGTACGATTGACCACGGTACGATTGACCACGGTACGATT